CTTTAGCTTCTTAGTCCTGTGTTTTAACCCGCTGCACCACCAGGGAGGGCCTATTTGCTATCACTTTTTAAAAAAAGATTTATTTATGCAGACAGAACCGGAGGCCAGAGGTGCAGGGGTAGTGAGAGAATTACCATAGAGTGGGAAGCAGAACAGACCTATGAAATACACTGCTGAGGGGGAGCAGTGGGCTAGACAGTAGAGGTTTGTTGTGCCATGTGGGTCACCTCCCTGGCTGGAGATCCATCTCTTGCTGCAGTGGCTGCAGCTAACTTCATAGAGCTGTGCTTTTAACATGTTGCGCCACCAGGGAGAGCCCATTAGTTTTTTGAGTTTTCAAAGATTTATTCATTTACGCAGCAAGAACTGGGGACAGGCCTGAATGAGAGGAGGGGATTGTTCACCAGAGACAGTGGTGATCAGAATAAGCAGATCTACTGGAATAAATTGCTGAGGGGAACAGCAGGCAGGAGAGGTCTGCCACACCATGTGGTTCATATTCCTGTCTGGGGATCGAACTTGTGCTGTGCTTCATAGTGCTGGGCTTTAACCTGCTGCACCACCAGCAAGACCCGAACCGCCCACACCCCCCATTAGTTTTTTTTAAAGAAATTATTTAGACCAAGCAAAGATGATGTAAGGACCATGTTTTGTTTTGTTTTGTTTTGTTTCCTTATAATCAATACATCCTAAGAAGTACTGGTTCTTTTTTTTTAAGATTTTATTTTTTATGCATATCATAACTGGGGTATAGGCTAGATGTGTGTGGAGTGGAGGGTGGATGGGAGGATTTACCAGAGACAGAGTGGGGAATAGAACAGGCAGATCTACAGAAATCCACTTTGGAAAGGAGTAGTGAGGAGGCAGGAGAGGTCTGCTGCACCATGTGGATCACCTACCATGGCTGGGGATCAGACTCACACTACATTAGCTGCAAATAGCTTCATGGTCCTGTGCTCTAACTGGTTATCCCACCATGGAGGGCTCAGTTTTTTTTTTGTTTTTCCTTTATCGTTGTCTATTTTTTCATGGAAGGGAGGATATGCTGTAATTTATTACTTAATTTATATATATAGAACTGGGGTACAGGCCAGAGGTGCAGGGGCAGTGAGAGGATTCACCAGAGACAGAGTGGGGAGCAAAACAGATCAATGAACTACAGTGCTGAGGGGGAGCAGCGGGTGAGGCAGGAGAGGTCTGCTGTGCCATATGTATTACCTGGGGGGGGTGGGAGGTATTGAAATGGCACTGCAGAGGCTGCTGCTCGCTTGCAGTGCTGCACTTTAACCTGCTTCGCCACCAGAGAGGGCCTCTTGTAATAATTTTAACTAGAAAACTATTGTGCTAACTTCTGATCCATAACTCTTAAGCTTTTAACTGTTAACAGTAATTTGGTCAATGATTTTCCACCATGTATGAAGGGTGACAGGTAAGAAAAGGTGGGAGAGAAGGGTAAGGAAGTGTGGAATATTGGCATTAAAAAAAGATGGGCCCTTCCTGGTGGCACAGCAGGTTAAAGCACAGCACTATGAAGCTACTGCAGCCACTACAGCACGAGTTCTAATCCCCTGTCAGGGATGGTGGTGAACATCGTTCTGCTCCCCCCATCTTTGAATCTTCTCACCACCCCTGCACCTCTGGCCTGTACCCCAGTTCTGACTGCATAGATAAATAGATCTTTAAAAAAAAAAAAAAGTGGGACAAATGTAAGAAGGTGTAATGAATATCAGAACTACCTACCAAACACTAAGATACGTGACTGGAAAATGTACTTAGATTCCCTTCCCTTGTGTGTGTCTCTCTCAAGTTTTTTATATGCATGTAAGAATTGGTGTAAGGCCAGACTTGGAGGGGGGCTGAGAGCATTCACCAGAGACAAAGCAGGGAGCAGAACAGGTGGATCCACTGAAATACACTGCTGAGAGGAGCAGAGAGACAGGAGAGGTGTGCTCTGCCATGTGGTTCATTGAATTCATGCTGTAGTGGCAGGTGATAGCTTGATAGCATTGAGATTTTTTTTTTTTAAATATTTATTCATACAGAACTGGGGTACAGGCCAGAGATGCGGAGTGTGAGAGGATTCACCAGGGACAGAGTGGGGAGCAGAACAGGCAGATCGACTAAGTACACTGCTGAGGGGAGCAGCGGGGTGGGTCAGGAGAGGTCTACCTCGCCCTGTGGATCTCCTCCGGGGCAGGCAGGGATCTAACTCATGTGGAAGTGGCTTAAGCTTCTCAGTGCTGTGCTTTTAACCTGCTGCGCCACCAGGGAGGGCCCAGCATTGAGATTTTATACGTGCACTTAACTTTAATACTTCATTTAATGTTTGTCACCTGTTACAGCTATACGTGCACTTTACTTTAACACTTCATTTAATGTTTGTCACCTGTTACAGCTAAGTAAATTACGTACACTTATTGCTTGTATTGATCAGGTTTTTGTTTTTTTTTTTTAAGATTTACTTATTTATGCATACAACAACTAGAGATTAGGTACTGTGAGGATTCAACAGAGATAGAGTGGGGAGCAGAACAGGCAGATTGGCTTAAGTATAGTGCTGAGGGGAGCAGCAGGCAAGACAGGAGAGGTCTGCTGTGCCATGTGGGTCACCTCCCTTGTCAGGGACCAAATTCGTGCTACAGTGGCTGTGACTAGCTTCACAGTGCTGTGCTTTAACCTGCTGTGCGACCAGGGAGGGTCCTTTATCAGTATATGTATTAATTAAAGCACTGTTAGATTAGGATGAGGATGATACTGTTAAGTAAGAACCTTAGGAAAACAGGTTAAGTCTGTTGTAGGTTTTTGGAATTGTTAGGGTTACATGGTTCATCTCCTGCTTTAGGCAGGCAGTGTTTGCTTGGTATATAGACTCGGGGAGAATCTCCAAAAACGAAGTTTTGTTTTGTTATCCTTATTACCTTAGAGAAGCTGAATATATACTGAGAAAATAGTCACATCATATTGACTCATTGTGTGGTCTAAAGTTGTATTGCTTAACAACTTTTCCTTTGCTAGTTATTAGTAGCATTTGGAAGAAACGCTCATTTCATTTGAATGTTTAGCAGATGGGGCATTTAGTAGCTAAAGTGAAATTTATATTACCTTCATGTTAATTTAGTAGTCACATATTTGTTGATTTAAAACTTTTAAAACAGGGAACTACTCTGATCATTAGAGCTTTTTTTTTCCCAGAGAAGGAGGGAAAGGTAGTGACAGTGATGGTATAAATTTAAACGCTGATTATTTGGAGTGCTTACAGTATCATGCATATATTGAAGTGCTTTTGTATATAATGTTTAACTTTCCTACACCTTATCAAGTTTTACATTTCAGATGAGGTAAATGAAATACAGAGAAGTTACAAATAACTTTAACAACTACATAGGGTTTGAATCTATACAGTCTGACTCCATACTGTCTCCCCGCTGACTCCAGTGTATACTTAATGGACCTGCCTTATACTCAGCCTAGTGACATTTTTTACTTGTCTGAACTATACTGGCTCTCATCCTGGAATAGTATCTTTTTGAACAGGGTTGTTGGCTGTAGATTACTCTAATCTCTGTATTGATCTACAGGTGAGCATGTTAGGGAAAGGATTTGGTGATGTTGGTGAAGCTAAAGGCAGCAGCACCACTGGCTCCCAGTTCTTGGAGCAATTCAAGACTGCTCAGGCCCTGGCTCAGTTGGCAGCTCAGCATTCTCAGTCTGGAACCACCACCACCTCCTCTTGGGACATGGGCTCCACCACACAGTCCCCATCGTTGGTGCAGTATGGTGAGAAAGATGGAAAGTTACATACATTCTTTAAGCATCAAAGCACTACAGTCAGGAGGCTAGCAGAAGTAATAGGGAGTAGAGGATGTGTCCTGTTTTGAGAAGAGCAATTAATTGGTAAATTGATTTCCCTTAGGTAGAGTTGGGAAATAATAATAAGATAAAATTACAAATTTTCTTTATCATATTTAATGCTGTGTGTGCACGTACACATGCGTGGATTGATAGTTGCATTTTTTCTGTTGATCTGGAGATATTTTGGATTCCCTCTAGGTTTAGCTTCAGTGTTTCAGACAGAACGTAACTACCCTTGGGAAGATCCATGACTACTTGGCCATTTTAGGACCATATACTCTAAAAATGAAAGTTCTTAGATTCCTTTCTTAGAGCAGGCAGGAAAACAATAGCATTGATTTGACTAGACTCTGCTTAAGAACAGATGCGATCTAAAGATTGTTACTTAAAGAAATGAGATTATAGTCTAAATGACTGGTCTATTTGAGGTTTTGATTCCTGAGGGCCTAGTCTACGTCAGAACACAGTAACATTTTCTTGAGGTTCACTAGCACTTAATGGCCTCATGCATGTGGGTTTCCTTGTGCAGATTTGAAGAATTCAAATGATTCAGCAGTGCATAGTCCCTTTACAAAGCGCCAGGCTTTCACCCCATCTTCAACCATGATGGAAGTGTTCCTTCAGGAGAAGCCGCCTGCAGTGGCTACCTCCACAGCTGCACCTCCACCCCCATCTTCTCCTCTGCCAAGCAAATCCACTGCTGCTCCACAAATGTCTCCTGGGTCTTCAGACAACCAGTCCTCCAGCCCTCAGCCGGCTCAGCAAAAACTGAAACAGCAGAAGAAAAAAGCCTCCTTGACTTCTAAGGTACTTGAACTTTTAAGATATTATAATCGTTAGGGCAAGGGGGTCAAGGGGCATAGGATTTGGTGGTTGCGATTATAGTTTGGATATTTGACATGCTTGACGCAAGCATTTTTAAAGTATGTAAGGTTGCAATAAACCATTGCTTTCTCTATAATAGATTCCTGCTTTGGCTGTGGAGATGCCTGGCTCAGCAGATATCTCAGGGCTAAACCTGCAGTTTGGGGCATTGCAGTTTGGGTCAGAGCCTGTCCTTTCTGATTATGAGTCCACCCCCACCACGAGCGCCTCTTCAAGCCAGGCTCCAAGTAGCCTCTATACCAGCACGGCCAGGTAGAGGAAATATCAATCGTAAGACTTCTTTAATTAGGCCTTAACCATCTTTTCTGTCTCTTGCTGATTCTTGTAACTCTGGAGAGCCTAAACCTCTGAGTAAGGGAAAAGTAACCACTTACAGCATTTTGTTGAGTATTTTAAACTGTTGTACTAGGGTTATGTATAAATCTGAGCCAGATAGAAATATGCCTTGGGTACTTCTAGGTTGTCCAAGCACAGTTCTTGGTGATGTATTCAACAACCCTGATGGAGAGTACCTTGAGTCTGCCACAGCTAAAAATTGATTTTGACACTTTTTTAACTCTTTAGTGTAGAGCTTATGCCTATGAAGGTTATAATTTTGAACCCCTAGGAAGGGAAGTAGCATTGATAAATTATACAAATTAAAAGGACCTTTTGCAGTAGAACCTTTCCTGTCTCCTCAAGATTTATCAGAAAGGCTGTTTTAAACAGTATAAAATGCAGGAAGAATTTCTGAGGATTAGACTTTTTCTTAAGCCTTAGAATTTAAAAATATAGATGGCTGACCCTTGCTCAGCTTTATTGCTATTAATGCTTGCTTGTGAATATTTAAAAGTTACTCTTAGAAGAGTTATGCCAGTAAGTAATTTTAAATCTAGTAGGGTTTTTGAGAGTTCTTGGAACATTTCTTAAAATAAATGTAAGCAAAAAGTGACTCCTCCTTTAGGGCTTATATTACTATGTATTAAAGGAGCCAAAAGTAGTACATCTTTTCTACTGACCTCTAGCCTATTTTTTCTTATATAGTAGAATATAGGGAAACTTTTTTTACTCCTTACTTGGTGGTTGCTGGAAAACTTTCTGGTTGTAATTGGCTTACTCTAGTAATCGATGTCCACAATTTTTTTATTATCAGTGGATCTGCTCTGTTTGATTTTTATTTTCCATTCCCTACAGTGAATCTTCATCCACAATTTCATCTAACCAGAGTCAGGAATCCGGTTATCAGAGCGGCCCAATTCAGTCGACGACCTATACCTCCCAAAATAATGCTCAGGGCCCTCTATATGAACAGAGATCCACACAGACTCGACGGTACCCCAGCTCCATCTCTTCGTCACCCCAAAAGGACCTGACTCAGGCAAAGGTAGTAGCTTCATGGTGTCCTGGGCTCCATTGTGCACAAAGCTCTTAAGTAATTACTGTCTTACTATTTTACAAATGGTGCTAGGAAGCCTCAGAAGTGCTGATTGAAAAGTTGGGGAAAAGGTTTTTGTGGTTTATGAAATTTTCAGATGAACTTCTTAAACTTGCTTTCCACTGTCTGGAGGCTTAGCCAGAAAACCATTGTCATTGCATTTAAAGATTATCTCCATTAGACTCAGTCTCAAGTATCTGTCATCTCTTCTTGGAAAATCTAGTTGCTTAAACTTCTGCATGCATATCAGTAGACCTCACCTTGCTGTGCCGTGGCTTGGTGAGGGGGACAGCATATGCCAAAGTGATGTCGAGTGACTGTCAGATGGAGCCAACAGAATGTTTTGGCTGAACTGTCTTACTCCCACATTACCCCAAAGATCCACTGGATTTGGACTTTAGACCTTTCCTTGGATCTATTTTGGGTTTGGGGCCTCTTTAATTTGGGGTGGCCTTTGGTTGCACAGATGGGATATAGGTTTTTTTGTTTTTTGTTTTTTGGTTATTTGAATAGTTTGTGCTATGTTAGCCCTTTGGTTAACGCAAGCTTCTCAGAAAAGTTTGTTGATTGAAGTTGAGTTCAGATAGTAATGACATGGCATGTTCACTTGATTTTTTTTTTTTTTAACTCCTCTTTTGTGTACCAGAATGGCTTCAGTTCTGTGCAGGCCACGCAGTTACAGAACACACAATCTGTTGAAGGTGAGATTTCGGGCTTTTCCCACTCATTTGTTTTCTTACCTTTGTCTGTTTTTGCATTTCTTAGTGAAAAAAGCTATTGATTCAGTGATCAAAACTTCTGGTTATAGTCTTGACTTGGTTCTACCTTACTGTTTAATCTGAAACTATTCTGAGTTTCAGATTCTCTATGTTAAAGCAGTGACAATCCTCTTAGTTCCCTTCACTGGACAAATGAGATCAGTGCTGTGAAATGTTTGGAGTGTGAAAAAGAAAAGATTCTACCTAAACACAAATGCCCCATTAAATTACACACATCCCTCTTTAGGGGGAAGCCTAGGACTGTTGTCTCCTCTTCTGCTTCTTGTAGACACTCCCTTTCCTTTCCTCTCATGGGGTGAATTTCTTCCTTTATTTACAGGTGCTACAGGCTCTGCAGTGAAATCTGACTCACCTTCCACTTCTAGCATCCCCCCTCTCAGTGAAACAGTATCTGCAGCTTCCTTATTGACAACAACCAATCAGCACTCATCCTCCTTGGGTGGCTTGAGCCACAATGAGGAGATTCCAAATACTACCACAACACAGCATAGCAGGTGATTTGTGGTGGGGGTGGAGCCTGTTGTCATTAAATAACTATAAGTTTCTGGTTCTTATTCTCTCTACCTGAAGGATGGGGGAGACAGTAGATCTATTTGTCCTTTTTGACATCCATGCTTGCTTTAGTTGCCCCTGCCCCCTTCAAGTTGTACTTTCCGTGTGATGTCCTTGGTTCCATATTCTGCCTTACCTCCTTTCTTGTGTTCTTGACTGAAGCTTTGGGTCTGGTAACTATAGCACTGTGTTACTGGGGACAACCTCTGTTTTTCTTTACAGCACATTATCTACTCAGCAGAATACCCTTTCATCATCAACATCTTCTGGGCGAACTTCAACATCCACTCTTCTGGTAAGTTTGATAATATAAAAGAGGAAGTATAGTTTTTTTCTCTTACAACTACACAGCCACTAGGTAGGGCTTTCTTGAAAATTACTTAAGAAGTGATAATTGGGGCTTAGAGCTTAAATCTCAGCGCTACCACCATGATGGCCCACTGAGATGGCCTGAGATTGATCCCTAGCCAGGGAACTAACCCACATGATGCAGTAGATCTCTCCTGTCTCACCTGTCCTGCTCCCCATTCTGTCTCTGGTGAATCCTCTCACTTGCTGTACCTTTGGCCTACACCTCAGCTCTTACATGCATAAATAAAAAAGTGAAGGAATTTCACTGTTGTGAATTATAACCACTTATTTGTGGAATCAGCTGGGTTTGTGAGAAAGTTAACATACTCTTACAGGTTTAAACTCATTAGAACTTGATACTTTATTTTTTCTTTTAAAGATTTACTTAATTTATGCATACACAAACTGGGGTACAGGCCAGAGGTGTGGGGAGTAGGGGTGAGAGGATTCATCAGAGACAGTGGGAACCGAATAGGTAGACTGACTGAAAAATACTGCTGAGGGGAGCAGCGGACAGGTCAGAAGAGGTCTGCCTGGCCGGAGATTGAACTCATGCTGCAGTGGCTGCTATTGCTTCACAGTGCTGTGCTTTTTAACCTTTTGTGCCACCAGGGAGGGCCCTACCCCTGTGAATTTTTTTTACATGTTTTAAAAAAAAAAGATTTGTGCATATAAGAAAGAAGTGGGGTGTAGGCCAGAATTTGGGGTAGTTGGGGGCATGAGAGGGTTCACCAGAGACAAGAGTGGGAAGCAGAACAGGAAGATCTGAAATACACTGCTGAGGCTAGCAGCAGGTGAGATAGGAGAGGTCTGCTGCACCATATGGGCCAGCTCCCTGGTAGGGGATCAAACTCTTGCAGTGGCTGGTGATAGTTCGATTGCAGTGAGACACCCAACCTCTTCACTACCAGGAGGCCTAAATTGTTGGGGGTTTTTTGCTTTTCTGTTACTGAACTAATAAAGAAAAATATAGGGGGGAAAGACCTGTTTCTTTAGATGTAAATGAATTCCATCTTTTTACTGGCCAGTGAGTGTTGGTTTTGAGGAAGTTCACCCCCATGTGCTCGCTTTATGAATAGGGTAATGATGTAGGTCTTGTTGCCATCCTTTCCAGATTATTTACTGTTTAGGATATGTAGCTGGAGAATAGTTATTAATTTAGCAAATGACCCTTGGTACCCTGTGTTGCCTTTGTAATTAGGAGGTTGACCTGATGATATAAACAGCCAATGGGGTTGTTTATCTTTTCTGCTCTGTTAAGCTAATCACTGGTTTCTCCTTATGTTTTCTACTGTCCCGCTTCCCCACCCCCCAAATTGAAGCACACAAGCGTGGAGAGTGAGGCGAATCTCCATTCTTCCTCCAGCACTTTCTCAACCACCTCCAGTACAGTCTCTGCACCTCCCCCTGTGGTCAGTGTCTCCTCCAGTCTGAATAGTGGCAGTAACCTGGGCCTCAGCCTAGGCAGTAACTCAACCGTCACAGCCTCTACTCGAAGCTCAGTTGCTACGACTTCAGGTACCCTTGCATAGAAAGTTGATAGCATTCTTTCAGGATGAAGGAAAGAAATGTGTGATTAAAAATGTCATTTTTCTTTTAGGAAAAGCTCCTCCCAACCTCCCTCCTGGGGTCCCGCCATTGTTGCCTAATCCATATATTATGGCTCCAGGGCTGTTACATGCCTACCCGGTGAGTGATACATAAAATGAAATTGGTGTGGCTACCTTTTATACTCCTTTTTTAAGGTGGAAGTTTACAGTTAAGATACAGTACCCAGACATTAGAGAAAGTAAGAATAAAGCATGTCTTTCTGAAGGAGATAAGTTTTAACTGTACTTGGAAGGCTATAAGAGACAAAGACTGATGGACAAGACAGTAGAGCATGCTGTTTTCATATATGACTTGTGTCTACCCTAGTGTTCCCCAGAGGCCAGGCTAGTTGAGTTGAATCAGTAGTGCTGAAGGTAAGCATCAAGACCTTTCATGAGTTATTTAATCATTTTTTATTTACTTCTTTCCTTGTAGAAAAAACTGAAGGAAATAATCTACATCATGCTTTTTGTTTTGTTTTGTGTTTTTTTTTTTTTTTTGAAGAATTGAGGATGGATGAATATTCTGTTGTTTTATTTTGTCTGTTCTTGCTTTGTTGCTGTCATGAGTAGTTCTCATTAATATTGTCACGTTTGTCTCTTCCAGCCGCAAGTATATGGTTATGATGACTTACAGATGCTTCAGACAAGATTTCCATTGGTGAGTATGTGATGTAGAGCTTTGGAGAAGCACAGTCTTAAAATTAGCATTAGGGGAATTATTTCAGAGGCTTAGCTCTTTGCCAACATGGGGGTTGGCAGAATAGTCCTAATAGAAGGTGACTTTATTTTTTAAAAATCAGTGTTTTAGCATTTTTGAAGTAGATAAATTTTTATAAAGATTTATGTACTTATGCATATAGAACTGGGGTACAGGCCAGAGGTGCGGGGGCAGTGAGAGGATTCACCAGAGACAGTGGGGAGCAGAACAGGCCGACTGACAAAAGCACACTGTTGAGGGGTAGCATCAGGTGGGTTAGAAGAGGTCTGCCGCACCATGTGGATCATCTCCAGGGCAGGATTGAACTCATGCTGAAGTGACTTTAGCTTCTTAGTACTGTGCTTTAACCTGCTACACCACCAGGGAGGGCCAAAGTAAATAAATTTTAACCTAGGGCCTCTGGTGATTAGGGGTTAAGTCTCAGTGCTATCATCTTTAATGGCCGGTGGTTGATCCCTGACCAGAGAGGTAACCCACATAAGGCGCAGCAGACCTATTTTTCTCACCTGCTGCACCCCTTAGTTCAGTAAATCTGCCTGTTCTCACTCTGACTCTAGTAAATACTAACTCCCTCCCTCCTCCCACCCCCCCCACCTCTGGTCTACTCCCCTGTTCTACACAAAATAACAAAAAAAGGGATCAATTTTAACCTAAAGTTTGTGCACTGCTTTGCTATTACGTCTCAAAGACTTTGAACTCCAGAAAGAAAGGTTAGTAATAATAGTCTATTAGGAATGATATATAGTGGGTTGAGGATACCTTTGTTTCTGATGGGCTTGAGGTGTTTCCTAGTGGGCATACCCGTAGACCTTGTCTGACTGTACTTGTGGCCAGACAGGGGGGACAGTGTATGCGAGAGTAATTTGGAGTTCATGCGTGCTCTACCCTGCTTAATCAGTGGCTGGATAAGTTGCAGTACTCCAACACTTTTCTTTTTACTCTTTGGGTTATTCATTGGGAATGAGTGGCATCAAGTCTCTGTTCTTTTACTTCTCTTCTAGGATTACTACAGCATCCCATTTCCCACACCCACCACTCCGCTGACTGGGAGGGATGGTAGCCTGGCCAGCAACCCCTATTCTGGTAGGACTGGGAATGGGGCTAAATAAAGGGAATTGTGTTGGGGTTAGTGGTAGAAACGCGACAGTGTTGGACTGTTTTCAGTCAGATTTTTGGCAGAAGTATGGAATGATTGTGTTGAACCAGGGTTGGTCAATTGGGAATCCTGCTAATGAGCTGGCCTTTTCCTGCTCACTCACTTTCTGCTGTCTCCCTGTGTCTACAGGTGATACCTTGATTTGGTTTTCGCAGCCATTCTCCAACGTTTTCCCAAAAGTATGGTGGTGGAACTGGCATTTTTCTCTGCTCCACTCTTCTACCCTAGTCATAATGGTGGTCTCATTGCCACATTAGGCCACAGCCCCATTTTTTGGTTGTATTACCCATTGTTGACCTAACACTGTTTTCAAATCCAGCATGGAATGTTCCCCATTGTCAGGAAGGAAGAGGGTAGATGAAAGAACATGAGTGGGCAAAGAAACCATGCAGCAACCTTATTCTGTACCACTTTGCACTGTTACTCAGCATCAGTTCTGGACTGGCACTGTGCTAAAGAGTGTGCTGAGCAATGATAGGTGGAACCACAGAGAAATGTAACTTAAGAGAATCAACAACTTTTGAATGCGTTCTTCTGTAATCACATGAAACCACAAGAGGTAATTCTATTTCTGTATGGAAGGTGAAAGGTGCATTTAGCTTCTTCTGTCACAGGTGACCTCACAAAATTTGGCCGTGGGGATGCCTCCTCCCCAGCCCCGGCCACAACCTTGGCCCAGCCCCAACAGAACCAGACGCAGACTCACCACACCACGCAGCAGACATTCCTGAACCCGGCGCTGCCTCCTGGCTACAGTTACACCAGCCTGCCATACTACACAGGGGTTCCGGGCCTCCCTAGCACCTTCCAGTATGGGCCTGCTGTGTTCCCTGTGAGTACTTTGGTCTTTTCTTATGATGAGAATCCTAGTCCTGAACACTGAATCGTTTACAAGGCTCAATGACTCTACTGGTGGACAAGGAAGAACAGCTTTCACTTGAAGTTTAGAGAGGGCCTGGGGCCGAAATTGGTGGCATTAAATAGAAATTACATGTTTTCAGTATTAACTAAAGGGAAAATGTGATATATAGCTTTATTTCTCTCACAGTGTCATTCCCTGCTACTACTGCCCTTTCCTTTCCTCCAAACTACATCTCTTCATCGCACTGGTAGATTTTAGAGACCTATGTAGGAAACCCGTTTCACTGAGCCAACAGTGGTGAGGGTAGGTGGTCATCTGAATGTCCAGTCCCCAGAGTAGAAAGAATGGGGCAAATGGTACTCTCCTGCCATTTTGCTGCAGTTCTGACTTTTTTGCTCTTCAGGTGGCTCCTACCTCTTCCAAGCAGCATGGTGTGAATGTCAGTGTGAACGCATCGGCTACCCCTTTCCAACAGCCGAGTGGATATGGGTCTCATGGATACAACACTGGTAAGCTTGCCTTGACTCTGGTTACCAATAGTTTTTGTGGGGTGTTTTAAATGAATTTCAGGGAGGAAGACTTTGACACTTGAGAAAATGGAGTTGGTGATGAGTACTCCTTCTCCATGTATGATTGTTAATATTTAACTGATTTGGATATATGTCTGAACAGCATCAGCAAAAACTTGATGTCAGAACATGTATCCAATTACAGGGGTACCCACTGATACCAGTTGGCTGTTAGAATATGTTCACTGGCTAAACTTTGGGTGGGAATAAGGTCCCCTGAGAGGCTGGTAACATGTCAGTGGAGGCCAGTGTTAATTAATTTGTTGCACTGATAGTACAAAGACTATCTATTTACAGACTAGAAAGGTTAAGTAGGTTCTTAGCTAGCATACAATAGTAGCTTTGGCTTCAACTCTTTTCTAGTACTACTTTCCTTGTATGGCCCTTTTGATCCCTAACTAGAAGATTTAAGGAGAGAACGGAGTAGACCTAAGTACACAATAGGATGAGACTTGGGCTAAGAGAGTGGGACTTTTATTTGTATGACTGATACTTTAGCATTATCTGTTTGCACATCTGATAGTGGGACAGGGTGGGGGAAGGTAGAAATTCTGTGCTCCCATGTTGGACACTTACCCTCCACTTTTGGAGGGAGTATGGAGGAGTCTTTGAAGGAAGCAATTCCATCTACTTTTTTTTCAGTGACTTGTAGGTGGAGAGATTATTGAGATAATCTGGGGATTGGGGTTGAGGGTTGTCCTTCAAAACTGTCAGCTCAGTTACCGTTTCATAGTGATTTGGAAGGAGCTGCATCTGTGTTCTTCACTCTTATGTGGGTTCCAGGTGGGTAAATTGCCCAGGGTTTTCAATAATTGGGAACTGAGCTTTAGCACAGAGGGCAGTAGGTTTGGTAACAATGTCAGGTGGAGTTTTGCACTATGTTTTATGACTTAAATGGGATAAGATTTAAGCTAAAGAAATCTTGAGATGCTCCATTGAGATTTAATAACTAGACTCCTGTGGCTACCCCTCTTTCTAAGCAAGGTTCACCCTAATCTTGTGGGGACGTGAAAACCCATTTTGAGAATGTTAGACTTTAGCTGACTAGGTTTAAGAACTTCAAGAGGTAGGTGATAATGTTAAGAAAATGGCATTCCTGATTCTGGAAATCCTAGCTTCTTACCTCCCTTAAGATTTCAGAAACTTGCTGTAACAACCCTTTGAGAACCCCCCAGATCCCAACCCCACAGAGGGCTCTTATCATCTCATTCCTCATCAACCTCTAAATTCATTTATTTTTATGTATTTGATTCCTTTTAGGAAGAAAATATCCACCCCCTTACAAGCATTTCTGGACGGCAGAGAGCTAATTTGGCCCAAGGCTGGGGGCTGTGTTTTGTGTGTGTGTATAAATTTGCACTGAAGTCTTGTTTCAGAAACCAGACCACTGAGGAGAGCCTGCTGAGCTGAGGCCATGCCCTGCCTGGCCTGGGGAAATGAGTTGGTGGATACCTTCTGGGCTTTTGAACTTGCCCTCTCCCCATTTCCCTCTCCCCCATGTGTCTGACCCTATCTTACCCATTTCGAGTTCAAGTGGTGCAGCACCTCCGAAGCATCAATGCACACACCTGCTGTTGCTTTTGATTTCTGGAAGGCATGTAGTTTCAACTTGTAACAAAAATATTTGTAGTCTTCAATAAACTGTGGTATTTCTTTAGCTAACTCTGGCGTTCTTTCCGTGCATGTCTTTCTGGATACTAGGAGCCAATTTTCTGCTGTGGATGAAGGGTGGAGGGTGGTCTTCTCAATCAAACCCCCCAGCATAGCCAAAGAACTGTTTTTTTTTTTTTTTTTTTAATTTTGGTATGGTGATTTTATTAAAGAGGGGAGGGGGAGGGAAAACAGTCTCAGTTTCTAGCCTTTCGATTAGTTGGTGAAGAAAGCTATTTTAGGAAATCCTTGACTTGCCATGCTTACTATAGCTTTTTACCCTTCCATTTAGCTCTTCCCTTGCCTCTGACATAAAGCAGAGAATAAAAGACCAAAAAAGTGTATGGCATGTTGTGTCATGTTGAAAGGCAAGAGATGGTGTTCAGAGCTGCTGTTAGAGAAGTATATTCACAGGCTTGGTCCCCACATCAGGATCCCCATAGCCAAGTGACGGCTAGGGATTTGATAAAGTCTTTAGTGAACAGCTACTTGATGAACCATGCTGAGGAAACTGCTATCCTGGAACATTGTTCTTAGTACTTCCATGACTTTTTAGGGATTGTGTATTATTAGCTGTTTTGGACTTGGGGTGTACCTAAGGATATATGGGAGAGGTTTGGTTAGATCTATCCTTGACTGGAAATTCTTAACCCCTACTCAGTACAACTAGTACACTAGCAGCCCTTTTTCTATAAAATTGACTTTCACAGTGAGAACATGAACCTTGGTCAGTTGGAAACCCCAGATAATTCCACTTTCCTTGTATTTGTTCACAACCCTCTGGAGTAATTTTGTCCTGTAACTATGATGTACCTTCCCAAGGGCCTACTATGCTGAGAGAGATTGGTTCTTGTTTTTCTTCCCTATGCTCCATGTTGTATCTGTGTGATGGTCACTCCTTGAAAGCCAGGTGTAGGTAGGGGTTTGAAGGAAAGCAAAAAGGAGCTTCATAGTAACTTGTAAAGGGTAGGTAGGGAAATCTATACCCATTATTTTCTAAGGTTCATAGTATTTATACTGAAGTTATTACAGCTACTACATGTATTCTCTCAATTCTGAAATTTCAGTCAATATGTAGCCAATGTGCAAGATAAGGTCTCTGGAATCCAAGCTGGTTTTTAGCTAGCCCAGGCTCTGGAAAGAGAACGAGTAGGGAGGTGCATTGGAACTAAATTTCCCCCTACTACCCACCTTTAGAATCCAGTTAGCAGTTTCTCCCATCCTGTATGGGATGGCGACTGCGAAGTTGTTTGAGCCTTTGCAGTCAAGATCAATCATCATTTCTTAATCACCCTCCAGAAATGTTACATCATGTCTGTCCATTTCACTTTACTCTCAAACCTTCCAGACAAACAAAAGCTTAGCCTTTTTTATAAGTGAACTCCCCACTCTTTTTTTTTTTTTTTTTTTTTTTAAGTTAAACCTACTAGCTCCCATTGGCCATATGGACACCTGGGGTTTGAAAAGGGAGAAGAAAGAAATACTGGTTAATTCTTTAATTTCCCTTCTTTTGCTTCAGTACCTGTAACATGCAGAGAGGTGATACTTTTAACTTGGGGAGGTATTTACTCATCCTCAGTTTCTGTAGCTCTGTGCGTTTTCCTTGGTGGTGTTTACTCCTCCCTGGACTTGTGATATGGGAAGGGTTTCTAGGTTAAGATACCACTTCTGTTGGGAAGATTCTAAAGTAGCTTTCCAAGGTGAGCTTAACCTTCGAAGGCTACCTTTGTTCTAGGCATTGGGAGGAGTGGTTTCTGGAGTTTGAAAGGGGAGTGCTGTTGGATTGTGGATACATGGAAAATTCAGTACTTGTGATTTGTTCATTTTCGTGTTTCTAAAAAAAATTCCATCAGTGTGAGAAGAATCCATCCATCTAAGCTGAAATGTAAAGTTTTCTGAAATTTGATTTTATCTTCATGAAAGCTGATACATCTTTTAAAAGCATACTTGAAATTCTAACTAAATTTTAGTCACTTGTCCTCAACTCCTTGCATAAAATTTCTCTAGTATGATTCTGGACCATTTTACGTAGTGGCTTTTTCCTATCTCCTTGACCCATTGCCACTTAACTCCAGAAGGTAGAGTGTTTCAGCTCCAGGAGTACAAATTAAAACAAGCAGTTGTACTGCTTTTGTTTCTTTAAAGTTGTAGAAGGGAGTTTGTCAGCAGAAACATGCAAATTGTTGGAGTGGGGATTAGAGATTTTATTTGATGGAGAAGCTGAAGTTGACATCTGGTTGAATGACACAATGTTCTACCTTTGTATTTTTGTGTACCTTTATATATAGTGTGTATACATATATATTCTATATAATACACGTAATTCTCTATATACATAATAATCTATATGTGTATACACACACACACAGTATATGTTAGATATGTAACACATATAGCTCTTCATAACCAAGCATGGGGCATAACCAAGAAGCTCCAAGACTGAAGAAGCTGGACTAAATGAGCTGAGACACATTGAAAATGTGCTTCCATTCTTGTACTTATTTTGTGCTGTGGAGGCATGCATTTTGTGTCCAAATGTTTCTCTTCGTGAACAGGAAGAACCAGACTACCCGTCTTCAGCAGCAAAAATGAGTGGAATTTGGGTGGATTAAATTGAAATGAACATTAAAAATTGAATACATTCTTGTTGAGTTTGGGCACAGACAAATACATACTTGTTGGTGTTTTGAAAACTACGTTGATGATGTTTGGCTCTGTCCCTCACCATCCCATACTCCCTTTCACCCTTCTCACTCCCCCCCAAATAAAAATTCGCATCATATTCTCACATATAATGCAGTACACACCTTGAAAGGGCAAGAAAACCCTAGGGGGGACCTTTGTGTCATGAGCTCTTATCCCTTAGGACTGATGTGAAGCTGGAAACACAGCCAAAATTCCCTGGCAATGCTAGAGCTAGAAAGGCTGCACACCTAGGGATGGGGCCAGGCAGCTAGCTGAGCTAACCCTCCTGTCTGTTTCCTCCTCCCCCAGGTGTTTCAGTCACCTCCAGTAACACGGGCGTGCCAGATATCTCGGGTTCTGTGTACTCCAAGACCCAGGTAGGTTCCTGGCTCTGGATAGAAGTGGAAAAGGAGAAGGACATAGAGGAGGTGTAGATGCAATGAGAGGAGTACAGTGAACAAGAATAATCCTAAGGGAGGTCAGGAAATCCATGGTCTCTAGGCTTAATTCCTTAAGCAGTTTAAATTGAACCCTCAAGAAAAAATGAGAAATGTTTTAGAAAGGTGAGGTGTGGCAAGTTGTTGCCTTGTTTTGTAACTTACTGTGCAGCTGTCCTGGCCCTTCTCAGCCTTTTTATAACTTTCCAGGAAAATGAGTATAGAACCAAGAGAAACTAGTTCATTCCGTTCTTTTTAAGTATAACAAAGGCTGGGGAAGGAAACCAATAACTGAAGCGAGGCATTTGCATTATCCAAAGATTATGTGTTATGTTATGTTGCTTTTCTTTTATCTCTCACGGTGAAATATAAAGAGTTACGATGTAAGGTATTAGGAGTTCTGGTAGAGTGCTTTATCACCAAGGCTTCAACACTCAAAAACACCTCCGTGCGTATTCATTTCTTTTGAAATATCTGAAGAATTTAATTTCTATCCAGCAATGGGTAGGAGTGTTAAGAGTAGTCAGCAAATATCACTATGTTCATATATGATAAGTAGATTTTACAAAGTGCTTTCTCATGCATCCTCTCAGTTGGTGCTTAGAGCTGAGAGGTCAGTGGTATTCTTATGTATGAGAAAATGAGGCTGAGAGATTGAGAAGTTTTCCTAGGACACACAGCAGTTAAAAGGCAGAGCTGAGACTAAAACCTGGACATCTGACTTCGGGTGCAGTGTTCTGCAGCTCTGCTGCCTTTTGTTTGGGAGCTTGGGCTCAGAAATGCCAGTGATTAAGTTTGCTGATGTCTTTTACTCTTTCTCCTCCATCCTACTGCTTAGCAGTCCTTTGAGAAACAAGGTTTTCATTCCGGTACTCCTGCTGCCTCCTTCAACTTGCCTTCAGCCCTAGGAAGTGGGGGGCCCATCAATCCGGCCACAGCTGCTGCCTACCCACCTGCCCCTTTTATGCACATTCTGACCCCTCATCAGCAGCCGCACTCCCAGATCCTTCACCATCACCTGCAGCAGGATGGCCAGGTAATAGCCTTTCCCTTCTCTTCCTTCCCTTCCTTCTCCTTCCTATGCCTTAAAACTGCCCCCTTTTCCTTTTCTTACCCTTCATCACTACCACCTTCACCCAGCCCTCTCCAGCGCCAGTCATGGGCACACAGCACATACAGACACAAGCGCACATAATACAAGTGGATGGCAAAGGAGATGTCAGAAAAGGGACCAAACTGAAACCTTTTTCACCCAGTTCCTTTGATGACTTTCTCCACCACCTCCTCCTCTAGTACAGCTGTCCTCATCCCACCAGACCTGGGTCACACCACCCCTCTTGCCTCTCCCAGCTTCCCCTTCCCTGACATTGTAGTGTTCCCTTCTAATGGTGGAATTCTATTGTCAAAGTTTGTCCCTTTATTTTCCATATATCCTGGTTCTGCCTCAGCTACCATATTTGCAGATGATTCTCTGTTGCCAGCGCCAGCAGGAGGAGCAGGTAATGAAACTGAATAATGTTACGCTTGAACCCACTCCTTGAACCCAGTCCTAATTTCACCTTCACAGCCTCAGGGAAATTAAAGAGAGAATAATGCACAGTCACAATCGGGATACACAAACACAAATGCCTTGCTGAGCTCTCTGGCCTCCCATTCCTCTCTTCCTCCCTCCTCAATGCCCTCTTTTTCTTTCTACCTTTCTCTGACTCTGGAACACATACGGTTACTGAATGGAAAGGATTCTTGCAACACCATCTGGGGTCTCTCCTATTTGGCCTGAAATAGACAAGGCTCTGAAAGGCTCCCGGATGTGATGTGTGGTAGAGGTGGGGAGCCAAGTGACCTCTCCATCATAGACGGCTGGGAACATAGAGTAAGAACTGCTTGCTCTCTGAGGCAGCTTTCCAGTTGTGGCATTTATGGGGGTCAGTGAAGGTGAATTCACCTTGTGACTAGACATCTCCAAGAGGCTGTGATTCTCTAACATAGCCTTATGTCAGAGTAGGGAAAGAGGTAGGAATGGTGGGAAGAGGATAGAATTGAAAATGAGTAGCACTGATTACTTGTCTCAGAGTATGTTGCCCCCTTCCTCCCCCTATTTAAAAGTTGAAAGTGCTTATTTGTCAGAGGGGCTCCATCTAGCAGCTATATAAGCCCAATTTTCAGTGGTTGAGTAGTAAGCTTCAGAGTAGTTTCTCAGCAGGGGTAATTGGGAGAGTGGGACAATTTCCACCTCTCTACCTGAAGATGTTACGAATTTGCCCCACTAACTAGACACCTTTTTCCTCCCCATCATCCTCCCGTTCCCCTGCAGACGGGCAGCGGGCAACGTAGCCAGACCAGCTCCATCCCGCAGAAGCCCCAGACCAACAAGTCTGCCTACAACAGCTACAGTTGGGGGGCCAACTGAGACCTTGGCCCTGCTCTCCTGGTCCCATCTTCTGAGAGGGCTTCTCAGCCTGGCAACTATGGAAACAGCATCAAAGAAAGAAAGAAAGGAATGTGGGGGGGGTGTTCCGCTGCCCCCCACTCCCAGCGGCCCACCCTATGCCTCAGCTTCATGTCTGTCCCATTCCCATGCCATCCCCACTCTGTTGTATGTATTATAGGATTTGTATTTTCTCTCTTTTTTTTTTTTTCTTCCTTTCCTCTCCTCCCTCCTTGCATACAAGATTATGAAACTTTGCTGTGGGCCCTACCCTTTCTTCTCCTGTTCACCCTGGTGGTGTATGGGGAGGTGGGGAGGGAGGACCCCAAATATATATCAGCCCAACAGCCCTAAGTCTCCTCCTTTATTATTAGGAAACAAAACAACAACAAAAAAATGGCGTCATGAATATGAACAGCATTGTCAGATGAATTAGTTGAAGTGTTTTTTTTTTTTTTTTGTACTGTGTCCTCAAATTTAATGGATTAATGTGTCTTGTATATATAAAAAGAAAACCTCTACATTCAGCCTCTGCCCATTCTTGCTCCGTCTAGGGTGTCCTCAATCTCGTCGATGACCAGCTTGGTGAATAAGTATTACTGTACCAACTGGGCCTCCCCTAGCAGGCCCCGAAGGCAGTGGAATAAAATGAAATCTTCGCCCTATAAGAACTCCTGACCTTAATGTGGTAGCTTACCCTTGAGTGGATTCCCTACCCTAAGAATTTCACAGCCTGGTGTCTGGAAAGAACCACCACAAATCATCATTTCCTCCAGAAACTTCACACATCTACAGCTGATACCAGGCAGTGAAGGGAGGGGGATTGTGGATACTGACAAGTGGAAAGGAAAAAACTAAAGGAACTGAAACAAACGGCTTTGTAGACTCAATGCAATTTACATGTAAATGAACTGGGAAAAGTGACTGCAGTGTGCATCCAGGATTGGTAAAATCTAAGCTTGGGCCACTTTTCTCACAAATAGGTTACAGTATTTGCATAGTGAATGCTTACAATCCACACAGCTAGATCCAATCCCTTGAAAAGGAATCTAGATCAAGGCCCGGTGTGGGATGCTGGGAGGGTGTACTGGAAATGGGAGCCTTCGAAGTCAGTGTCAGGAAAGCACTGTTAGGAAAGTATTTTTGATAGCCCCCAAGTTTTTCTCCCTCAGACTTCGTTAGATAACCCTTGCTATCTTATAAAGCCTGGTTGCCTAAGAAGAATTAAAGGAATTTGACAAAACTTGGTAGCTGGGGGTAGGAGGGTGGGGAGATGGGACGCTAAAAGCGTCCTGTGTCTATTCAGTTCTGGGGTGTTCGCTGCTAGATGTGGCCTGATACTTGAATATTTTGTACTAATCCTAGAGGGTCCATTCCTAATATAAGACAACTGGGTCAGTCTAAAAACAAATGAGGGGGCTTCAACTGCAAGCAAGAGTGCGGTGGGCAGGCCAAGAGGTAGCGCTGACACTTCATTCGTGTGGGTGAGCTGCCCTCTGGCGGCCTTGTCCGCTACTATCCAGAATCAAAAACCCTCGAAACGTTTTAGATCGGGCTGATTGGCAGGAAGGGAGCAGATGGCCATTGGAAAATTCGGTACGTCCAAACCCCGCACTACAAACAGGTGTAAAGCGAGCCTTTAATCGGGAGTACCCGTGGCCCCGCCTTCTCTACGTCCTACTTACGGCTGTTTTACGACAGTGTCGGGATCGCCAGCTTGCTTTCTGGCAGCGAGGTCTGACGCTAGTTCAGCACGACAACGTAACGCAGCCTACCGTCAGGGGTGAATGAGCCTCGGGTGGGGGTCAAAGGCTCCAGTCCCAATACGGGAATGAGCCTCTTTGACCTTTTCCGGGGCTTTCTCGGCTTTTCTGGACCTCGGAGGTGAGACTGGGTCCGGGCTGGCCCTGCGTGGGATCTTGAGGAGACCTTGACCGCTAACATCCTATTTATTTCTGGAAAAACATCCTATCGCCCACACCAACCTCGGCGGAGAGGACGAAGTTGCTCCATTGGGCACTCACCCCACCATAGTAACCAGGATGGTTGTTAAGAGACGGGAAAACAGCATTTTAAGTTTTTTCCAACCTTGGGTGATGCCACAGGGGCCCGAGTGAGGAAGACAGTGGGGTTCCGGGGAAGAGTGAGCAAGATCTTGGGGGAGAGGGGAGGGGCCGGGAACTTTGAAGAAAAGCCGGAGGGTGGTGATCGTGTTGAGGGACGCCTTGAGGTGAGGACTGACTGATCAAAATTGTTTTGATTTGATGGCCAGTCTTGTAATCCTTACCTCAGCTTCCCAGACCCTCTACTCTTGTCTCAAGACTTTTGTCCCTGTGAGTTGATTTTATGGTTCAAACAGTGCTGAAATGGTGGCAAATCTACCTCCACCTCTAGACACAGAGATCCCTTTTTTGGAGGGATAACTCGGGATGAAGATGAGGATGAGGAAGAGGAAGAAGGAGCTACCTGGGGCCCTGGGAGCCCAAGGTTTGAAAGTCCCCAGTCCCAAGAAGAATTTGACTTCAGCTTCAGCTTCAGCCCAGGAGGAGGGATGCGTTTCCATGATAACTTCGGTTTTGATGACTTAGTCCGGGATTTCAGTAATATCTTCAGCGAGATGGGGGCCTGGACCTTGCCTTCCCTCCCTTCTGGTGTGTGACTTACCTCTGACAGAGAACCTGTAATTTCTAGTGGGTTGGTGGGTGAAATAAGGAACTTGCAGAGAGTTGTTGGGGGAAGTGGGGAATGTGAGAAAATTAATACACCTGCAGCATTTGCTTGCCACTTTTCTGCAGAACTTCCAGGTTCTGAGACTGAAACACCTTGTGAGAGACAGCAGGAGGGACAGACACTTCGAGACTCAATGCTTAAATATCCGGATAGTCACCAGCCCAGGATCTTTAGGGGGACCTTGGAGAGTGATGCAAGAACTGAATCCCCAAAACCAGATCCTGACTGGGGCTCCCAGAGACCTTTTCAAAGGGTGAGTACTTACCTCCTCTGGGCCTGCAGTGTGAACACGTGGGAGGCAGCTATACAGAACACTGACTGGAGGCCTTGTTAGAATTTAATAGACTCAATTAAGAGGTCTAGGATCTCCACTTGTTTATGTTTTCTATATTAACTTATTGTAGTATATTATGTGGAGAATTTTGCTGTTTTAAAAAAAAAAGGCCTTGATCTATATGATTCTTAGATAAAGAGGAACTATTGAGGAGAATAGAAAAATATCATTTCAGGAAGGCTTTTGGTAGAAGCCAGGAAGGAGGGGGAGCAAGCAATCTTGAATGGGATTAGTTCTCTTGGGAAAAGCAAGTTATGGAATGTAGCAATAGTTTGGGTTCTGTGACCCCTTAAGTTTCAGATTGAAAGGTATCACTTCACTTCATCTACTGTGGCTTCTTCTGCAGTTGGATGATATGTGGCCTGGGAACCCCCACTCTAGAGCCAGAGAGGACAATGGTGAGTCTGAAGAGAGAGAACATGTAACAGCTCTGTTTACCTGAAGTTCCCTCTGTTCTCCCTCCCTGGTGGAGTTTCTTCTTGTCAGATCCATTGGCCCTTTTCTTTTTTCTTCACTCTGCCTTTCCAGACCTTGATACCCAGGTTTCCCAGGAGGGCCTCGGCCCAGTTCTGCAGCCCCAACGCAAATCGTATTTCAAGAGTGTCTCTGTAACCAAGATCACTAAGCCAGATGGGGTGAGTTGGGAGAAAGGGTGAAGAGAACTGTGTCCAGAGGATGCTCTGGAAAAAGGAGTCTACGTAAAGAAATCAGTGACTTTGCCTTTAATGATGTTAGGCATGTGATGGTGTCCACTGTCTTTTGTAGACAGTGGAGGAGCGCCGGACTGTAGTGGACAGTGCAGGCAGGACACAGACCACAGTAACTCGTCAAGATGCAGACAGCAATCCTAGAAATGGTAAGTAAAGGGTATGAATCAAAGGGGTACATCTCTTAACTCTTTGGGGATGAGAAGCCCTTATTCCTTACCCTTTAGTATAATTCCTTTTCTTTCTCTCTGCTCATTCTTTTTCATTTAACCTGACTATGTATATCACTTTTCTTAGATCCAGAATCAGCAACACCTCCAACCATGGACGATGCCTTTTCCATCCTGGACTTATTCCTAGGGCGTTGGTTCCGGTCCCGGTAGCCTTGTTAACCCTCAGAGGCCTTCAGGTTCTTTCCACCCCCACCCTTTGCTCTCTATCAGTAATCTTAACCGCTCCTCCTACCACCTCAAGGTCTGTGTGAAAGAGTGATTGGGGGTGTGTGTCAGTGTGTCACTCACCTGAACTGACCAATAAAACCTTTATTTATGCTAGTTTCCTGGCCTTGGTTTTATTGAGATTATCCTACTTTCTGAAACCATCTAAGACATCCTAATAGTCTGTGTTCACAATCTTCTTATTTCTTAGTTTATGCACCACTTTGAAAGCCTGATTTGATAAGTAGGGGTCACATGCCGGTAGGAAATTATTTTCCTTACTGAGACAGTAACTACAGATAATTCCAGGAAAAACTAGAAGAAGATGCATCAGATCGCACCCCCCAGCCCCACCTCCAAAAAAAGTATAAATGTAAGTGTAGAGGATTGCTACTTCCCTAGAAGAGGAAGTACTGGTTGGATAGTTCATGAGGTAATTTGAAGCACATGTGCAAATGTTTTTTCCCTTACTGTCTGTCTTTATTTTTATATATGATAGAAGAAATACAACTAACACAAACATTAACTGGGTCTTTTCCTTATTCAAAAAAGTTTTTAGCAATATGGTTAAAAATGGCAGATCTTGGCCCTCCCTGGTGGCGCAGCGGGTTAAAGCACAGCACTGAGAATCTAAAACCGCTTCCGCATGAGTTCGATTCCCGCCTGCCCTGGAGGTGACCACATGGCGTGGCGGACCTCTCCTGACCCGCCCGCTGCTCCCCTCAGCAGTGTACTTCGTCGATCTGCCTGTTCTGTTCCCCACTCTGTCTCTGGTGAGGCCTCTCGCCGCCCCTGAGCTTCTGGCCTGTACCCCAGTTCTGTATGTACAAATAAATAAATCTTTTAAAAAAAAAAAAAATGGCAGATCTTAAAATTTTTTTTTTCTGTTTCCTCTAGAAACCCCATTGAAATGATAACAACGGGATTTTACAGAAGAAGCATATAACAGGTACAGGCCAGAGGTGAAGGGCAGTGAGAGGATTCACCAGAGACAGTAGGGAGCAGAACATGCAGATGTACTGAAAAACACTGCTGAAGGGAGCAGCAGGTGAGACAGAAGTCTGCTGTACCACGTGGGTCACCTCCCTGGCCAGGGAATGAACTCATGCCAAAGTGGCTGCTGATAACTTTAAGTGCTGTGCTTTAACCTGTTGCATCACCAGGGAGGGTCCTCATTTTCTTTAGTTTTATCTTTTGGTGAACAAAGTTTGATTTATTATTTCAAATCTATCTTTTCTTTTGTGTTTAGTGCTCTTTATATCGTCTAGAAATCTTTAATCCAAGATTAAAGAATATTCTCTCTTATTATCCTGTACAAGTTTTATAGTTTTTCCTTGTACATTTAGGTTTTGAAATCCACCTGGAATTTGTCTTTCTATATGGTATTATTCATCAAGGAATATAGATATAAAAACATTAACTATATATACATATATTCACACACATATATTAACATGTACATTATTCACCTTATTTATTCCTTAAATTTCCATCTATTGATAGCTAGCATCTGTATTTCTCTGTGTAGGATCTCTCTACTTTCTTCTATTAACCTGTCTATCTTTGTACCCATGTCATACTTTTAGATATCATTGTTGTACAATAAATCCTCATTTCATGTTGTTCATATATTCTTGGAAACTGAAAGGCAAAATGACATATAACAAAAATAGGTCCTCAGATACTATCATGTTCAAAGTTAACTGGTATTTGTTTTCTTTTCTCACAACCTTATTACAAAACCTTGTTGAAAGCCCTTCCTGTTGGCACAGCTACTTTAGCACAAGTTCAATCCCTGCCCGGGGAGGCATAGCAGACCTCCCCTGTCTGGCCTACTGCTTCCCTCAGCAGTGTACTTCATCAGTCTGCTTGTTCTGCTCCCCACTCTGTCTCTGGTGAATCCTCTCATTTCCCCTGCCCCTTTGACCTGTACCCCAGTTCTCTATGTATAAATAAATAAAAATAATCTTAAAAAAAAGTCAAAACCATGTTGAACAAAGCAATTGTTCCCAGCACTGTTGCTGTGTTTAGTAGAATAATAATGTTCTTCCATTTTAACTCTTCTAATATACACAGTAATGTTCCACATAATGACATTTAGTCAGCACTGGACCACATATATGATGGTGCCTATGTGTTGCTAGGTGTTTAATTGACTATGCCAATCAGGTTTGTGTAAATACACTATTATTACAGTAACATAGCAACAGATAATTTTATGAAGACACAGTTAATTTTTCTAATCAGCTCTTAAAGTACCACCATGAATATAAAGGGAACCAGAGCCTCTGGAAAGTCTAGGTGGAGACATGTAAAAACAAAAGAAGTAATTTGTAAGAAACAGACTATGCAAAAAGATGAAATTAGCAAGGATAGAAATCTTTAATGCCCTTAATAATATTAAATGATATATTGTATCCACAAAACCAGCACAGGATGCTACAAAAGAGGAAAGAACTTTTGGAAGTTTAAAAAGTGAATGAAAGGAAAACTATAAAAAGGTTCAGATGACAAAGTTGAGCAAATCTCAAAAAAAGTACAACAGGCAACTCTCCTGCCTGCCTGTGACTATTCAGGTACTTCTCTTTTTCTTTCTTCTTTTCTTAATAACCCTTACTTTTAAAATGTGAAAGAGAGGCCCTCCCTGGTTGCGCAGCGGGTTAAAGCACAGCACTAAGAAGCTAAAGACACTTCCCCATGAGTTCGATTCCCACCTGCCCCGGAGGTGACCACATGGCGTGGCAGACCTCTCCTGACCCGCCCGCTGCTCCCCTCAGCAGTGTACTTCGTCGATCTGCCTGTTCTGCTCCCCACTCTGTCTCTGGTGAAGCCTCTCACTGCCCCTGAGCCTCTGGCCTGTACCCCAGTTCCGTACGTACAAATAAAATAAATCTTTAAAAAAAAAAAATGTGAAAGAGAAAGCAAAATAACAGGTAGAAAATAGAGAAAAAGATGAGAATAATAGAATGTGGTATAAATGGTGAAGTAAGTTAAAAAAAATAACAAGTGGAGGATACAACTTTCTAATCTGAAGGGGCCCCCCGATGCTAGATATTAAGGATGAAAATGAGCCTACCCCAAAGCACATCATATGAAATTTAAGAATATTGGAGACAAAGGAAAATCTAAATGATTAGAGAAAAAAGAATAAAATAACAGAATCAGAAATCAGAATGTTCTCAAACTTTTAGCAGCAACCCTGGAATTGAAATTCAGTGGAACAACAACAAAAGTCAATGGAGTATTATTTGAGGATGTGGGAGTATAATAGACATTTTAGACATGAAAGATCTCAAATATTTGTCTTTCCTGTGCCCATTCTTAGGAAATATCTGGAGGAAGTGGAGTTCTTTTCAGGAATCTAAAAATGAGAAAGGATCCAACTGAAAAGAGGAGAAAGAGAATCCCCAGAATGATGCAAAAAAAATTCACATTAACAACTGTGCTTTTAAGATCTAGATTGTAGTATATCATAAACCTCCAAGATGTCTCCAAAAAGAAACTGAAAAACTGGTGTTTTGTTATATAAAGTTTTTGACAGTTGTTGGTGTGGTGAGTTTGGGGTTGAGTAATTGACAAGTACTTAGAAAGCAGTTAACAAAACAAAAAAATTTACTGTATTAATTTAGCGGGTGGGGAGAAAACAG